TCTCTCTCTCTCTCTCTCCACTCCCACAGGTGTGCACCTCTCGACCCCTCTCTCTCTCTTTCCCTCTCTTTCTCTTTCTCTCCCTCTTTCCTATCTTCTCTTCATCTCTCTATTATAGTAAACCATGTGGATGTAGCGTGTGGGTTGTGAATGCCCACCTGCTGCCCCGCTCCATGCCTGCATGGAGTGGGTCACCCACCAGCCCACCACTACATATGTCCAGCATGCCAGTATGTTTCCCTAAACATTCGGAATACCCTCTGGGTCCCCATGTAATATCATAACAGCTAGAACTTTTGATTCTTTAAAAAAAAAAGATTTATTTTGTTTTCATCTGTGTATATGTGTGTGAATGTATGTGCTTATATGTGTGCAAGTGCCCACAGAGGCCACAAGGGGGTGTCAGATACTCCAGAGTTGGCATTACCTGTATTTGCTCTGTAGACCAGGTTGGCCTCGAACTCAAAGAGATCCGCCTGGCTCTGCCTCCTGAGTGCTGGGATTAAAGGTGTGTGCCGCTATCGCCGCTGCCACCACCACCAGGCCCAGTAAGCACTCTTAACCATTGAAGCACCTCTGTAGTCCATAACATTGCTAATAAACAAACAAACAAACAAAATATCCCAAGTTCTAAATCTCTAAGACTGAAGGCACCTCTCAGCTGTGAACCTCAGTAAAAATTTTAAAAAGCAAGTTAACCTATACCGAATATATAACGGCAGCCATTTCTATTCCAAAGGGGAGAAATGAAGGGGGATCATCAGAGCGAACACTGAGAGGGGTCTGTAGCCCCACCTGGGAATATAGTGTCTTAGCGTAACCTCCAGTGGGTGTGGAAGCCCACCCCCACCATCTTGCTGTTTACAAACCCCATGGCCTCACACTTGGACTGGCTCATTCATTGACTGCTGCGTCCCTCACCAGCCAGATGTTCCATGTTCCTGGGGTCTCCATTGTAGCTTAGGCCTCATCCTTTAGCTTCATGTACTCCCTTACAGGGAGAAGGGCCCTGCTTGCAGGGGTCCCTAGCCTGGCACTCATCGCCTAGACTCCCAGGCCTCCCTTTGAAACTTGGGTGCAAGCCTCCATGCCCCCCTCCACCCTTGCTTTCTGCAGGTCTGAAGAACCACCATGATAGGAGCAAGGTCTGCCATCAGCTCAAGCAGCAGCCCGACCTCTTGGACCACACGTGCAGCAACCTCTGAGTGCCTGGGTCTCAGCACAGTAAATGAATCATGGGAAACAGCTTCCCAGGCAGTTGTGTGTGACCAAGGTGCCTCGAAGGTGCATTCTCCAGAAAGAAAAGCCTTGGATGGGTGGGGTCCAGCTAATTCCTGAGACGCCCTCAAGACAGCTTTGCCATTGTCCTGATTCAACTACTTGATTTCGTTTTAAAGTTGCTAATCTCTTAACAACCACACCCTGCCTGTGTAAAAATTTGGATGCTCTCCTTTTGTGGCCAAACATTCCACTTTTCAAATCTGTCCTTCTTTTCAACTCTTTTCTCTCTCTCTCTCTCTCTCTCTCTCTCTCTCTCTCTCTCTCTCTCTCTCTCTCTCTCCACTGTAAACCTGGCTAAACACAGTGCTCAATATCCATGCCACAGGCACACACCACACTGCCTTCAAATTTCTCCCTCTGAACTAGAGTTTAGTTAAAATTCAGCCTCACTCAAAATCTCGACTTTCGATGACGAAAAATTCCTCCACAGAGCCTTCTGAAGGGCCGCAAGCCCAATCCCAGTGAGTCCTGTTCCCATCTGAAGCCTCGTGAGCCTCGGCTCTCTCCATTCCTGTATCTGGTCCTCCTCGGAGCTCTCACAAGAACAATCCCAGTGCTCTGGGCTTCTCCCATCCCGCAGCTCTAAAGCCTTAGATTGATCCGGCAAACTGGTTGCAAAGGCTGCTGCATGACAAGGCCAGGTGCAGTCACAGTGTCAGCCTCACTTACCGGCACCAGTTTTCTGTATTGGTTACTTGTAAGTCACTCTTACCAAAATGTCAGAGAGAATAGCTTGCAGGGGGTAGGAAGGGTTTGCTTTGGCTCACAGTTTCAGGGGGTTCTACAAATGATTGTTTGGTCCATGTGCGTGGGCAGACCATCATGCTAGTAAGAGCAATTGATAGAAGAGGCAGTTCACATCACCATAGACAGGAAACACAGAGACAGGAAGGGGCCATGAGGAAGATCTCCCAAGATCCTCGTGAATAGGACTCACCCTGTTGGTTTTAAATGCAGCACTTTTACTCTGTGAGGAAAGGTCATGAGGCACAACAAAACCCAGTATCAGAGCTTTATTATGAGTGGGGGGACAGGAGAGAGTGACCAGGCCTGTGAAAGACACGTGCAGGGGGAGAGAGATGGGGGGAGGAGGAGAGAGCAGAAGGGAGGGGAGGAGTCTGTGACCGGCTTTTTAAGGGTTTCCCTGCACATGAGCCTGTGGGCTTACGGAGCTACTCCACGCATGCACAGATTGTGTGACCACGCAGCACACAGATGACGTAAGACATAAGGCCCCTTGCTTGGCTACTGAACTGTGCACGTGGGGTCATGCCGCTGGAGGAGTGGCAGAATCCTAACACATCCCTCAGTGACCTACTTCCTCTAGGTAGGTCCCATCTCCCGAAGTTTCTGGAACCTCCCAAGTAGCACCACCATCTTGGGACGAAGACATGAGCCCAAGTTCAAACCAAGACACTGTAGACACATGCAGCTATTCCAGGGGGTGCTTAAACGACAGAAGTGTGGGTCTCACATCTGGAGACTAGACATCCGAGATCACGGTTCCCCAGGGATGGAGCCTCCTGAGGCTGATATTCTTGGCTTGTCTAGAGCGTCTTCTCTCTGTGTGTTCGTGTGGTTATCTTCTGTACACTCCTGGGCCCTGATCATTTCATTTTACAAAGACCGATTTCACTGACTCCTACCTAATCTCTACAGAGGCTCTGTTTCCAAACATGGTGACATTGTAGGGAACTGGGGACCAGGACCTCAACATATGAAATTGGAGAAAGCCGTTCAGGTCATAGCACCCTGAGAAGTTCCCGTGACCCCTCCAGCAGCAGCATGAGAGTCAGAAGGCATGGACCCCTGGGCCACTCGACACACCCTCCATTGTCGTCTTCAGCTGAGAGGAAAACTGAGCCCTCGTGGCATTAAGCTATTGAGATGTGGAGGCTTCCTTATTAAGACAGCAAATCCTAGCTCATCTGACTAATACACCAGAGACAGGCACCCAGGCAGACATTACTAATTCATCCCAGCACTGCAGCCAACACCAATGGATGTGTGGATGATAAGATGGTTGAGAGCCTTTTAGCTCACTGTCAGGCAGGAGGTTAAGCCACCTGAATTTCCCCATCAAATGACACACAGACATTAAACTATCCCCCTGGGGTGTATCTAATGTATTCCTACCTAGCCTTGGCTCTCCATTTCTCCCTTCCTTATCCTGAAGGGGCTGTGGTGTGGTGGTGTGGCCTCTTCCAGGGCTACATCTGCCCCACCCCCCACTCACTCAGCCCCCACGGTTCTGGTGGTTTAATCTCCCTCTTAGCAGTTTGGTAGAACTGAGTAGAAACTTGTTCCTGGGTAGATGCTGGAGCGGGCGGGCTGCCCCACATAAGATCATGTTTTCTCAGGGTGTGCCTGGCCTCAGACCCAGGAAAGGTGATTTCTCTTTCTGGCTGGGGCTGTGTTGGCGGTCAGAGCCCTCTCCCCAAGTCTGCCACAGGGAAGGGCCGGCCTGGGACATGGGCTCCAAGCAGACAAACAGAGTGAACATGACTTTTTACAATGGGGCTTTGATCTGCCTAATGTCACAAGACAGGTTGGGGACAGATGCCAGGCTTGGGTGATTCCTGGTTCCCACAGGAGGGCCCTGTGCAGGTATTCACACGGGGAGCATCTTGGCAGGCTCGGGCCTGGGTCGGTGCCCATCATAATTAGGTTTTGGAAAAAAAATGGTGGATGAAGTGTGTTTAGCCAGGGCTCCGCCTTCCTCCAGACCCGAGGAAGTGACAGGAAGGAGAATGGAGGAAGCTGTCCTCACGGGCATAGGCTTGGGGGCGGGGGTCCTCCCGGTGTTAAGGAGTGTGCATAAGGAATTCCTGTGGTCAGGGGAGGCAGTGGGACACAAAGGCTGGGCTCGCATCCCTGACAATACACACTCTGTCCTTGCCAGTGGAGACCTTTGCCAAAGCACTCAGAGAATGGGCTGCCACGGAGCCCAGGTGTCCAAACCACTGGCCCTAAAAGCATATAAAGAGGCTGGGGCTGGGGGGCCGTTCACAGGACGTTTGGTTACTCCGGTGCCCATGAAGCTGCCAGGGGCCCGTCCTCAGGCTGTCAGGCTGCATTATCTCCACCTGTGCTCAGGAACAATAGTCACACCTGGGACTCACTTGCATCCCCAGGCGATGGTCCAGGCAGACGCACAGTCCACATCTCCTGCCTGCAGCTCAGATTTCCCTGGCAGGCTCCCCTGGGACAGTGTAGCCTAGAAAGATGAAGGGGCAGAGCAGGAGACAGAGGTGCCAGGAAGCTGGCCCCTCTGCAGACCCCGGAGACATCATAGAGGTTCCTCCCTCTCTTGACTGCTGCTGTCCTTTCCCTGCCTGGACGTGCAACCACTCCATGCAGGCTTGGTAGGCAGTGACGTCAGCTCTGAGTTACGGGTGCAACGCTGTGTTTAATATTCACTCAGCAGTCATTTATTAGGCACCGTGTTAACACCCTCCATTCAGGACTCTATGAGATGTCACGACCAGCCTCACCTCCACTCCATTTAGGGAAACTAAGGCTCAGAGAAGCAGGAACAGGAAGCTAGTAACAGCCCAGGTGCACTTCCTGTATCTGGTGTCCATAACTAAGTTCTGTAATCCACCACCTCCACCAACCCAGCACCGAGTTGCAGAAGGGACCCTTTTACATCCCTGGTACATTCATGACTCCTCTGTGCCCACCTTGGGGGACAGAAATCACGGTTCTGTGTTACCATTGTGCCCAAGCATTCAGACAAGCCTGCTAAAGAAGTTAACGATCGATAACTGGACGGTAACAGGCTCATGTCCTTGTTTTGAGCCTCACTCTGGCCCAGCACATCATCCTGCAAGCTCTCACATGCCTTTGCCAGCAACCAGCTTGGAAAAGAGCTTGCTGCTCTCATCTCACAGGTAAATAAGTGGAGGCTGCATATGAAGTGGCCCCTGAAGTCCCCAGCTGCTCAGTGGTACCAGGTCACGGGTCTGAAGCCTGAAGATGGGAGAGAAGGGAGAAGGCAATTTGTTTCTTTGGATGTCCCCAGTTGTAACCAGGTCGGGAGGAATGAGGACATCCTGAAGAGATGCTCTGGCTGTCAGACCAATGAAACGATGGACCCCAAGGCACTGGTGTTTTCCCAGGAGTCTCACACTGGGGAAGGGAAAGGCTGAAGTCTGGTGCCAGACAGAGGGGGAGCTTGTCTCCCACAGAGATCTCACAGAGTTCTGAGAACTTGTCAGACCCACCTTGCAGGAGAGACTGGAGCTGACAGTGATGGGTCAGTGATGGGCAGGACCACACCTTGACCAGGACTGCTTAGGAATGCACACCTCCTGCCCCCTGTTTAAGCCTGAACCTCATGCCTGGACCCTGAGGGCAGACTTGGGAGTCTATGGACCTCTTTGTCCCTCTTCCCCATGTGGCCACATTGACTGATGCTCCTGTCTGCTTTTCACTGTTACATGTTTGACTGGCCCATTGAGGACTGGGCTGAGCCTGGCTAGTTAGAGCCACGTTGGCTCAGGCTCTGACCCTGACATCTACAATACCACCAATGCACACGCCACAGGTCAACAAGCCTACGCTACTTGCCAGTCATCTCACAACAGCCCTCACCCTGAGCCTAGGAGTTTAAGGCCTTCTTTTTATCCCAGCAAGGAAGACTGAGACACCCCCTCCCCGAGGAATCCACATCCAAGGACATTTGGATGAATCCAATCCAAAAGCATTTTCAGGTCTTGGGCAAGCTTGTATAGGTGACAGAAAGGTTATCTGCAGATTGCAGGGTCAGTCCACCAGACCCCTGCCCAGCACTGAGCAGCCATGTGCAGGAACAGGCAGCAGTAGACCCGGGTATCCTCCAAGTGGCCGTCTAGACCCCAGCACTGCACAGCACAATAGGCCCTCTTTTTTGTGAGGTTGACTGGTCCTGGGTGGGAGCCCACACTGCTGAGCATACCCTCTGACTCCCTGGGGCCTGGAAACAACATGAAATCCAGAGTTAGCCTCACCTGGATGACCCCTGCCAGTGGGTGTCTGTTGATGTTGGCACTTGACCGAGGAGATTGCCTCAGGACTGGAATATGGAGAAGCATCTTGCCCAATGGAGCCCTGGCTGTGTTTGGAGATCTGGCACCTTCTGCCAGGAACCATGTTTCCTGGGGGAAGAATGCTGCTGCGCAGTGGGTCTGCCAGGGGGTTGCCTTCAGGAACCCCGGTGAGGCTCCCCCAGTTGTTGACAGTTCCTTTGATGCTCACACTCCCAAAAGAAAAGAGCCCCTGCCTCCCCTCCCTGCGGCACAACTTACCTCTAAGGGTCCCCAGGCGCCAAGCTCAGCTCTGCAGCGCAGTGTGGTGGGATTTGGGCTGTGGGCCTGCCATGTGCAAAAATCCTTAACCAGACATGCTTACATGACACACAGACACACAGACACCACACATACATGCCACACCACACACGTACACCACACACACACTCTCACACATATCACACACATATACATATGCATACATACATGGCACACCACGCACATACCCCCCCACACACACTCTCACACATACACTACATATACACACACACACAGAGAGAGACACACCCACACACACCCACACACATACCACATACACACACTGCACAGAGCAGCGCAGTCAGGCCCCAAGAGGAATGGTAAGATGATTGGCTACAGGCAGAGCAGAGGCTAGGATCAGGGTCTGCATGGCATCAAGCACCGGGGAGAGGGGGTACACTGCACAGGACAGGTGGGGATGTGGGGTGCGAGTCCTGGAACATGGCTGAGACTAGGAAATGAGAAGATAAAACTCCAGGCAACTACACTGAAATGTCAAAAGAGTTGCCTACTAGATGGATCAGCAGGTAAAGGTGCTTGCTGTACAAGTCTGAGGACCAGAGTTCCATTCTTGGAACCCACATAAAGGTGGAAGGAGAGAAATGTTACTAGAAGGCTGTCCAGTGACTTCAACATGTGGGCCATGGCATGCACACACGTACACGTGTGTGCACACATACACACACATACATACACAACTCTCTCTCTCATACACACATACAGACACACATAGACAGACATTTCTTTCCCACCCACCAGTTTTCAAATAACATACACAGCCTTAATATTAATTATAAGTGCTCAGGCTTGTTACTAGCTAATTCTTACATTTAAATTAGCCCAAATTTCTTATCTAAGCTTTGCCACATGGCTTGCCACCTTTTCTCAGTATGGCATGCCCATCTTGCTTCTCTCTGCATCTGTTAGCAACTCTTTCTCATTCCACCCTTCTTCCTCCCATCTTTCTCAGTTTGGCTCTCTCACCTAAGTTTATCCTGTTCAGCTATTGGCCAGTCAGCTTCTGAATGAACAAATGAGAGTAATACATATTCACAGTGTAGTGGTATTTGCTCCGCCCATGACCCTGGGTTACACGGCTCAAAGGAGGCAATGCTTGCTGCTGGTGTACAGGACCTCTGACAAGGAGAAGGGAGTTGGGTGCCATTTGTAGCTGAAAGTTTTCCTGTGTCCCACCCAGTCCACAGTCACTCAGATCCAAATAAACACACACAGGCTTATATTATTTTTAAACTATGGCCATGATAGGCTTCTTGCTAGGTAGCTTTTATATCTTAAATTAACCCATTTCTATAAATCTATACTTTGCCACATGGCTTGTAGCTTACCAGTATCTTTACATATTGCTTCTCCTGGTGTTGCTAGCAGCATCTCCTCTGCTCTCTGCCTTTCTCTCTCTCTAGTTAGAATGTCCTGCCTAACCTTATTCTGCCTCACCATTGGCTAAACAGCTTTATTTATCAACCAATCAGAGCAACGCATATTCACAGCATACAGAACAATATCACCCATCATTCACAGTGTATAGAAGCATTTTTCTACAGCGCACATGCGTGTACACACACACACACACACACACACACACACACACACACACACACACTGATAATAATAATAACACTTAAAAAGAAAGGAAAAAATAGAAAACCAGGAGTGGTGGTATTGAGACAATTTACAGGCCTTGGACAGTGAGAGGGACCACTGTGGCTTTGTAGCAGGTGGCAGTTCCCAGACCACATCACTGAGTTAAAGAGACATAGACAGAGCTTAGAGAGATCAAGGCAGCTGGAATTCAGAAAGCAGAGCACTGAAAAAAAGGAGTTAGGGAAAGGCCTCCAAAATAGTGACAGAATCTTTGCACCTGTAGATGGTGGCAATGGAGACCCTGAAAGGTTGGACAGAGCTCTGTTTCTTGAGAGCTGGGAACCCACTTGTGGGCAGAGCTCACCTGAGCACAGATACATGCACCATCCTGTCAGCTACAGTTCAGATTTGCTACTGGGTACTGGAAAAACCTTCTAGAATACTACCTTAGTCACAGAAAGTCCTATGGCGCAAGCCACTCAAGAATTTCCCTAACAAAGTTCTAGAATGGGCTTCCAGAGTGCAAAAAAAGATCCATGTGTAACTTCTCTGGTAGGGGGAACAAATCCCAGCATCACTATAAAGCAAAACACATCCAAGCTCAGAGCAGTGGTGTGGATAATGTCAAGATACATTCAAATTTAGAGCAGAGTGATGTAGACAATGTCAAGACACATCCACACTCAGAGCAGTGGTGTAGTGTGGGCGCCCACAAAGATTCCAACTTGTTTGACTCAGACTCCGAGTTATGTCGCTCTCCAAGGCTGCATAATAGGCAGAGGCATGGTTACCAGGTGTCTTATACTTCAAGGTTAATCACAAGATGCTTTGCCATGGGGCATGGTTATCAGGTGTTTTAAAGGGTCTAAACTAGTTTGTACTTTGATCTTGAAAGGAGGAGGTCTTTTGCCTCTCCCCTTGCTAGTGTATAAAAAGCCCATTAGAAATAAACTAGCATCTGTGGTTTTGATCCATGGTTTTCCTGAAGCTATCCTGCATCTCTGTCTTTTTCTTTGTCTAAATCTATATTTCTTCCTATTATTTCTCAATCCCTCACTCAGGTTGGGGGTGGTCCCCAACAGTGTAGACAATGTCAAGACACATCCAAGCTCAGGTAGTGGTGTAGACAATGTCAAGATATAGGTGGCCTTATGGAGATCCTGCTCCAAGGCCATCTCCAGGATAATGCAAGGAAATATATGAATGTGGCAAGGGTGTAGGAAAAATTCTCATATATCTGAAGGCTAGACTTTTTCTATCTGAGGAGTAAATGATAAGGAAATACACATGCTTTCTGAGGATAACTTTCTCTTTTACTTCAACTTAAGAAATCATCTCTCTTAAAATCTCTTTCTGAAAATATCTTTGTCTCCACACAGTTACATCTCTTTACATACAGCTACATTTTCCACACACACTTACACAGCCTCCTCTTCTCTCTGTTAATCTCTCTTGCTCTCTCTTCTGCCTAAGCTATTCATGTTCTCTCCTCAGCTCCTTCTGCACACACACACTCACACTCACACTCTAACACACACACACACACACACACACACACACACACACACACACACACACACACTGCCCAGCTCTTTCCACAGTTCCTTCACATAGCTCTTCCTTCATGGCAGCATCTCTTTCACCCAGCTCTACACAGCTGTCTCTCTCCACATTGCCCCTGCTGCTCTCCCTGAACAAACCCTGGACAATTGTAAGTCACATTTTCAGGGCCCTACTCATTCTCAAAACACAGGATAAGTCACGTAGTTTCTCTTAGGCTAGTTATGTCACATTGACCCACGCACATAGCTCTAAGTTGGTGAGGGATCCCAGACAGTAAACAATTAGCTGAACCTTCAGCCATCAGGGTCCGTGCAGAAAGAGAGCTACTGTAAGGAGCTATGTCTCAATGTAAACAGCCTGGCCTTGATTTAGCAATAAACAACACCTGGGAATTAGTCTTTGTGTATTTTCTGCAGGGGCAGTTTAGTCTGTTTTGAATTCTGAATTTTGTTCTGAAGTCCAAAATTAACTGTCTTTGTGACTGAGGATTCTATGTCAGTAATGCAAAATATCTTAGTATTATTTCTATATATCAAAATTATACAGCCTAAACAGAAATCAAGACACATCCAAGCTCAGAACCATGGTGTAGACAATGTCAAGCATCTGAACAAAAATTACCAGACACACCAATAGCTAGAGACTCTGACCTAGAGAAAAGCCAGTCAAAAGAAGTAGACCTGTGGGTGACAGGTGGAGGACTAAAGAGCCAGGGACTTCAAAAGCTTCAATATCTGGCTAGTGGCTGAGTAAGGCTGAGGCAGAAGAATTGTGAGTTCAAGGCCAGCCTGGGCCATAAAGTGAGACCTTGTCTGTATAAGTTAATTTTTCAGTTACTGTGATAAAATACTCTGATAAAAGCATTTTAAGTGAGGAGAGGTCTATTTTGGCTCAGTTGCAAGTACAGTTTATTACAGAGAGGAAGGAGTGGCAACAGGAACCTGAGGCTGTTGGTCACATTGCAACTCAAAATTAGTCTTAGATTTACATGTGAAAAAATAGTTAGGAAAATTCTGGGAGAAACAGAACCTAAATCTTTGTGACTTCAAATTAGGCAAAGATCTCATGTCTATAACTCTCAAGTCACAATCAATAAGTGTATTTACATTTAAAAAACCAGGGGCTGGAGTGATGAAACAGCAGTTAAGAGTGCTTGCTGAGCTGGGCGGTGGTGGCACACACCTTTAATCCCAGTAGTCAGGAGGCAGAGGCAGGCGGATCTCTGTGAGTTCGAGGCCAGCCTGGTCTACAGAGGGAGTTCCAGGACAGCCAGGACTACAGAGAGAAACCCTGTCTTGAAAAAACAACAACAAAAGAGTGCTTGCTGTTCAATCATGAGACCTACGGTTCAAATCCAAGCAACTACATGAGGTGCTCACAGTCATCAGCAACTCCAGCTCCAAGGGATCCAATGGCCTCTTCTGACCTCTCTGAACACCTACACACACACACACACACACACACACACACACACACACACACACACACACACACACAAAGATCAATCTAAGATTGATAGGTGGGTAGATAGATAGATAGATAGATAGATAGATAGATAGATAGATAGATAGATAGATAGATAGTTGGATGGATGAAGAAATCCTTACATGAGATGTCATCAGAACTAAAAACTTCTCTTGCTGAGTGAAAAGATGAACTCCATGCCAGGAACAAATATTTGTGAGCCACACAACTGACAAAGAATTTGAAACTCTCACAGCTCGGCAATAGGAAAATAAGCTACATGATTAAAATGAGCCAACTCTGAACAAGGTTTCCTCCAAGCAGATAAACAACTAGCGATAAATACATGTGAATGGCTTTACCTCCACCGGTAACCATAGAAACCAAATTAAAACCACAT